CTTGAGGATTGGGAGATCTTGGAGTTCCAGCTGTTCAAGAATGTCATTGCCACATGTCTGGAAATTTTGTTGAACTATGGTATGGGGCAGAATGACGGTACCACTACAAGAATTGAGGGAATGATGTCTTTCAATAGTGACAGGAACAGTATCTATATGGAAAAGAAGAGAAAGATCATGAGCTTGGGTAGCATTCTGTACCGTGATGATGCGCGTACCGCTCTTAAGAGCATGAAAAGAAATATCTTTACCAACATGGCATAGGAGTGCCTTGCCAATACTGTGGTCGGAAAGATAGGCAGTAGAGGAAGTTGGTCATAAAGTGAAGAATTTAGTCCATTGTGCAGTCTGAAACCGAGCGTGGAAAGGGAGTGCAGGACGTGTCGATCTTTTCTGAGAAGAACGAGAAGGTGGAGAAGTATCATCAGCAGGTAATTGTCATTGGCGTTTAGGCGTGGGATCAGAGTTGGTCCGACGTGGAATGGGCCGGCGATTCGAAAATTGCCGCACCACAGAGGGAGAGGCCAGAAGCATAGTCAAAGGAGAGCGGAGGTCAGACAAATCAAAGGAGTCAGTCGAGACCTCAGTACCTGAAGCGGGTGAGGAAACAGCACCGGCAAGAGGTACAGAGGCATGAGGAGTGTCCGAAGAGTGGTCCAAAGACGAGGCGGGGTCAGAACGGGGTTTGTTATCAAGAAGGAGCCCGGGGGTACCAGGTTCATGGATTAGGTTCTCCATGGTTAGGTTACTTCTTTCTTTTGTTTTTAAGAAAAAAAAGAAAGAAGAAAAGAAAATAAAAATAAAAAAAGAATAAAAAAAAAGGGGGGACCGGGGAGAGATAGTTCCTAGGAGGAATGAAAGGGCCAGAAATCTCCATCCACGCCCAAGAGGACCTCAGCACCACAAGTAGCATAGATGCAGCATGGAACCCGTGCCATACCCTACCCATCATGCCAGTAAACCAGCAATCCGGGATAGCAACCTCACATCTGCCGAGCTACCTTGGTGGGCAAAAGAGAGGGCGGCCGGATATCTGCCACAAAGCATACCTCCTTCGGCCACCACCCCCGGAATCCAAAAGGTGGCTTCCAGAGATACACCCGTCGCCCGAAAGACACCCAAAGCCACTCTCCGGGATACCGCAGAGGGATCGGGACATCCCCAAGCAATCCAGATTCCACGGCAAACTACGCCACCGCCAAGAACCTCAACGGAATGGGATGGACCCCGGTACCCTTTCCCCTACCTAGGAACTAGCGCGCCTGTGGGAAAAATCCCAAAGGCCCAAAAGAGGAAGGGCAAAAAGGAGGGGTGGGGAGGGGGAGGAGGAAAGGGAAAAGGGGAGGATGGGATAGGGAAGGGGGGATTGGGGGGTAATTAGGTTCGGTCTGAATAAGGAGACCGACAGGTCTAATTCCTCAGACCAAGAGCCTCTTCACCACGCCAAGGAGCCCCCCTTGAAGAGGTCCCCCTCCTCAAGTTCCTGCAGCTCCTCAGTGGTCAGCTTTGCCCTGTGCCCCTCCACTAACTCCTCCACCTCACCATTACTCATATACAGACCCATGGACCTGTCCAGACACACAATATCCTTCACAGCCTCAAAGTCCCTTTCAGCCACTGCATCTGACCACAAATTCCTCCAAGTAGAGTTCACTGTTCTGTATGAAACTTCCTGCCAGGCTTTGTCAATGAGTTATGCAATGGGCGATAGTAAAGTGATCTTTCCAAAACTCTCTCAGGGTTAACTCTATGTCAGAGGTCACTTCAAAGCACCTCTGGAATAGAGTTTTAGTGTAGAGTTTCTTGAAATTACTGATGGCCTGGTGATTCATGGGCTGAATGAGAGGAGCCGTGTTAGGGAGGAGAAACTTTACAGTGATTAAGTCACACTCTGGCAGCACAGTCCTGCAAGATTGGAGGGTGAGCTGGAGCATTGTCTATTATGAGGAGGGCCTCTTCAGAGGCAGGTTTTTCTCCTTTAAATAACTTTTTACACTTGGTCCAAACACAACATTAAACCATTCACTGAAATATTCTCTGGTTGCCCAAGCCTTGCTGTCTGACCTGCACATCATGGGTAACTGAGTTTTCTGCAAGTTGTTTTTTAAAGGCCCTTGGGTTTTCAGAGTGGTAGATTAGTGGAGGCTTCAGTTTGCAATCCCTACTTGCATTGGCACAGAACAAGAGTTAACCTATCCTTCACTGGGTTGTGTCCTGGTAATGCCTTCTCTTGTGTAATATAGATCCTGTTAGCCATTTTCTTCACTGTTTGGCTCTTCTCATAAACTTTCTTAGAGCTCATGGTTAATGAATTTATTAAAAATTTATATGGAAAAACAAAATCACGTGAAAATTCAGAGTTACAGCGCGGGTTGTTCATTGAATGGTAGCAACGGGCATACTGATGCTAGTGAGCAGTCATGGCTTTGTCTTGAGAGAAAGAAAAACAAGGGTAGTGCACGAGTCGCATTCCAAACAAAGGTCGTATACCAAGCAAAAATTTTCGCATCCAAACAGGACATATACCAAGTTGGATTTATTCCAAAGTGGACGTATACTGAGGTACCACTCGACTTTACAATGGTAGAGCTATGTTCATCATGCCTTTTCTTTAATTAATCATAATTATTTAATTTCCTGTAGTTGTTGCACACATTACCTCAAGTAAAAATGAGCCATTTACCATCATTTGAATACTGTAGTTGTGTCTAACTCAAATTACAAGTGCGGCCTACTATTCACCCTACTGCTGGTTTCAAATTATTATTATAATGAAAATGAAGTGCTAAACTCACTAGCGTCATACAGCACTGCAGGGAAGGGAGTGATGCAGGATCAAAGGATAGGCAAGAGTGGAGAGGACAACAAAGGTAGAGTTAGGAAGGGATATGAGGAGTGCTAAAGGAAGTGCAGTGGAACCTCGGCTTACAAACTTAATCCGTTCTGTGACCTTGTTCGTATGCTGAGTCAATTTTCATCATTTAAATTAAATGAAAAGCCATTAATCCATTCCGGTAGAATTCCTGATCTCAGAGGCAGAAAAAATTCACTTCAATATAATGCTAATATCAACTCTATGGCTTATTTATCTATCAAAATTGATCTAATATGATATAATAAACAATATAAATAACATAGAAACCTGATATATACTCTAGAATGAATAAAATACGTCATTATGTGATAAGTGGAGGCGGTCATAACCGCTTCCGCATTGTTGTGGCATTCACTGCCATCTAGTGGCGGCCTTTTGAAGCTGTCTATTATAATTATTATTATAGTACATTATTATTATACGTGTTATATTTTATATATTATTAATTAGTATATTATTAATATAATGGGAATGCACTTGTGGGGGGGGGGGAGGGGATGGAAGGTATTTAGGCTTAATTTAGGGAACTGGAACGCAGATCCAATTCCCATGATCAAGAGCCCCTCACCACATACGTACTACTACTACTAATAATATAATTATAACAATAATAATAGTAATAATAATAATAATAACAGTAAGGAGAAACTTCAAAAGGCTGTCAGTAGTTGATGCCACTATCAGCAAAATATTGGTAAACACTATACTACTTTTCACCTATCTAGACTTAAGTAGTCTATAAGTATTAGGTTAAGTCAGCCTGATATGCTTCGGCATGATAGTTGCTTTCTTTGCTCCAATCATATCATGAGATGTAAACACACATTGTAACCTTTGCAAAGATAAATAAATAAAATATTTATTTTTCTTTATTTAAAGAACCTCCTTTGAGGGGTGTGTACGCATCCTAAAATTTCGTTCATATCCAGAAGCAAAAAATCGACCAAACGACAGTTCGTATCCTGAAAAGTTGGCATGGTGCGGGCGTTCGTAAGCTGAGGTTCCACTGTATTTTCAAAGTTTGTGCAATAAATCGGTTGCTCTCAAAAAGTCAGAGAGGGAGCCTGTGTCAAAGGTGGGGCTATCAGAGAGGAGGAAAGATAAAGAATGTTAGAGCAGTGACAATGTCAGAGGTGAATTTTGGGTGCTTGCTGAAAGACAGGAGAGTCCAACTGAATATGACAAACCAACACTGGAACCTGACAAATCTCACAAAGTGGGACAGGGCACCTCTCTGCTTGTTTCAAAAATTCATTATCTGGTTTTTCATATTCATTTTTTTCAAATGAAGTAATTTTCAAAACTTTTATTCATTCTTTGTAGGCCATAATTTTTAATTCCTTTGCAAGTTTAGTTACATAGTAATGAACTATGTATTCATTTTGTCTATCGTTTCTTTAGATGTGAAGAGCATACTGCAGCTGCATATTCTAGTTTTATATAATTTACTTAGAATTTCCCCATCCAAATATTTATATTTGCCAATAATGTTATTGGCAATTGCCAAAGACCTTTTTTTCTTAATGGGATGTTCTTAAGATTTTATCACTACATTCTGTATGAGCTTTATGCTTTCATCCAATTACATTCCATGACAGTTTTCAACATTAAATTCAATCATCCAAACTTTCCTGCAAATATTTAGTCATTTTGATATTTACCCATGCCTAAGATTTTTGCCTCTGCAAATTAATTTATATAAATAATTTCTCCTCTGGCAGATCATTTATATAAATCACTGGGGTCAGAACTGATCTTTGATTATACTAGTATTAAGATAATTTTTCTCCTCTTGGCTAGTAAGGGTTTCAAGTATATTTATTCAGTTGAATTTTATCTTGCTCTAGAACAAAATTTTATAATGAATATGTAATTCCCCTTCCCCATATAAATAATTGAAAACCTACATCGAAACAGCTGGAAGAGAAAATACAGAGTGTAATTTCATCCTTATTGAGCTTCCACCACTCATTAAATTCCTAGATATAAACAGTGATAAGTATAGTCATGACCATATACTCCTAATGTGTATACTGATGACTGATAAGAAACAAAATAAAGTGCAAGCAATAGGGAGATGAAGGCTGTCTAGGCATTACAAATGGTGTCAAGTTTAGCTACAAAATGCATACATGTCTTTTATTCCATATTAACATGAAATCCTGAAATCATATGTTGTACAGAACAGTATAGCCATTATTTATATCTACTCGGAATCAATTCTACGTGTGATTTGCTTGTAGATGAATGATACAGAATACAGCGAATGAGAAAGTATTAACGGAATTGCAGATGTCGTGAAATGTTCCACGATAGAAGACAGTCAATGACGAGACAGAAGCCTATATTTATTAAAAATATATTAGCCCTAGTTTTAATGAATAATTTTATAGAGCATGCAGCATCAAAGAATTCATTTATCCTACATGTTTTAATAATCTACAACACATACAAAAATAATTGTAAGAGGAAATAGGGTGCACATTTTCAGCCTAACCTAGCATCCACCATTTTGTGTACTATGAATTACACTACCTGTAATTATACATGCATATGCCATCTAGATGAATGAATTATGAAAATACTGCTACATATAGCAGTGAAAGAAAAAAAAACAAAAAAAAAAACAGCGAGTTGGGGATGGAATGAACCATAATGTGCAGATCCTTAGATGACACTGATGATACATGTACTTCTGTGGTGACAACGTTCACCCCGGCTCAATCTGCTCCTGTGTTCATGATAATGATTAAATTATATGTAGTATTTATTACAGTACACAAGGACAATGCCTATAAAATGAAGCAAGTTTGAGAGGCAGTGTAAAAAAAACTTTCAGTGAAAATAGAAAATGAACAAGGTGATAATATTAAAGAAAAATATAGGCAATGAAAGAATGTCAAACTGAAGGGAATAAGGTAGGTGAAGGAGGGGTTTTTAAGACTGGTAGATAATTCAGAAAGGCTGGAGCAGGATACATTAACCAAGACAGTATGGAAGGTATTGAGAGCTATCCTAAGAATAAGAGGGCATGAAAAGGTTATTAGAGGTACAGGCTTACTAGCAAGAACCACCTGTCTCTGAGTAGAGACAGGTGGTTCTTGGGATTTCATGGGGGCTTCTGGAGTGTAAGCAAAGTAATATTTATCAAAGAATTCTGGGAAACTGGTAAGGCCGACTCAAGTTCTGGAGCTGGGAAGTATGGTACGAGCACTGAAGGATCATCGGAGATGCTGAGATTGGTAGATCAACCAAAGTGTGATATCAATACACCTCTAAAAAGACAACTAGGAATAAGTGATGGCAAGTGCATTTGCCTTCTTTACCTGCCTTAATGGAAAACAGCCAACAAGTTAAAAAAGCAAAACAGGTCTGGGACCTAAACTCACATTTCTTTTGTGTGCGAGGCATGGATTAAGAATGCTGCAGTGAAGATGTGGTTGGAAGTAGTGGAGATGTCATATCTGAGATCAACATGCGGTGAGAATTTTTCCTTTAATCACACTGAAGTCTCATAAGTAAGAGTAGCCATAAAAAATGAAACATTCACTTTAAAAGCCTTAAGATATCCTGTCCAGAGCATGGAAGTTACACATTCTAAAAATGCTGTTGTTTTATATTTCACACAACTTCAGTGCACAGGTGTGATTATTCAGACCTCTTACAAGGAAAAAAACTTATTTTTTATTTAAATCTTAAGCCGGTTTATATTTTGCTCTTAATCTTTACTATCTTCTTTAGATATATCTTTCCTAATGAAGATTTTGCCACCTTTCCTAAGTCCTTGAGTTTCTTAAAGAATCTTGAGTTTCATACAGTATTTAGAAATCTGAAGTCTAAACCATGCTCAGATAAAAACTAGTAAATTCATATGCAAGTTTTATAATTATCTTCTCCATTACCTTCATTTATTTTCAAATAAAAATATTTCCATCATCACCAAAAAATTATTAGCTGTGTCTGAAGGAAGAGTGAGGATGTTACAGTCTGGAGGGTCATCTGAATTATGTCTGTGGACTTCTGGCAAGGCAGGTATTGAATGAATGATAGAAAATGTTTCCTTTTTTGGATCTCTACCTTGGCGGGATGGAGATGTTTTACTTATTTACAAAGAATTACAGTTAGGTTATTCAGTATTTTAAAATTATACATTTTCTAACATTATCAAATTTACATTATCAACATGCTACTGTTGTCACCAACTCACTGTCAAATTACAGAAACCAAAATAAAAGCACGTAAAATTATTCAAATTCCACAATCCATATCCATAATTCATTCAGTGTCACTGGCCACAAGAAGGATAGCTAGTGTAAGTATGGGTAGTAGGGGGAAGGGGAATAAAGGGATGGGATAGTTTGAAAAATGCAGTATTAGAATTTGGGGCAGAAGTTTGTGGCTATAAGAGTGTGGGTGCATTCCACCAATCACTCCTCTTCAGAAGTGATTGGTGGAATGAGGTAAAAGGTGTGATAAAAGAAAAAAAAGGTAGTTTATAATAGGTTTTTACAAAGCAGAAGTGATATAAGGAGGGCAGAGTATATGGAGAGTAAAAGAAAGGTGAAGGGAGGGGTGAGAAAGCGCAAAAGAAGAGCAAATGATAGAGTGGGAGAGGCCCTGTCAACCAAGTTTTGCTGAAATTAAGGAAAAAAAATTGGAGCGAGATAACAGGTTAAGAAAGCCTAGGGAATGAATGGATTTGTCAGTTCAAAATAGAGTAGGGGAGTTAGATGGAGAGCTTGGAGGTATTGGGTAGATGGCGGGAATATTTTGAGGAACTTTTAAATGTAGATAAAGAAAGGGAGGCAGTAATTTCAAGCACTGGCCAGGGAGGTATAACATCTTTAAGGAGTGAAGAAGAGCAGGATGTGAATGTAGGGGTAGTGCGTGAGGCATTATGTAGAATGAAACGAGGGTAAAGCAGCTGGAACTGACGGGATCATGACAAAAATGTTAAGAGCAGGGGATAATATAGTGTTGGAGGGGTTGGTATTTTTATTTAATAAATGTATGAGTGTGTGTAAAGGTAGAAAGTTGAAAGTGAACATAGAAAAGAGTAAGGTGATGAGGGTATCAAATGATTTAGATAAAGAAAAACTGGATATCAAATTGGAGAGGAGTATGGAAAAAGTGAATGTTTTCAGATATTTGGGAGTTGACGTGTCAGCAGATGGACGTATGAAGGATGAGGTTAACCATAGAACTGATGAAGAAAAAAAGTAAGTGTTGTGTTGAGGTATCTGTGGAGACAAAAGACGTTATCCATGGAGATAAAGGAAATGTATAGTAGTACCAACATTCTTATATGGGTGTGAAGCATGTGTTATAAATTCTACAGTGAGGAGGCAGCTGGAGCCAGGAATTCATAGTGTGGAAATCAGGAGGAAGTGTGGAGTTACTAAAAGTATTAGTCAGAGAGCTGACAAGAGGTTGTTAAGGTGGTTTGATCATTTAGGGAGAATGGAACAAAGTAGAATGACTTGGAGAGCATACAAATCTGTAGGGGAAGGAAGGCAAGGTAGAGGTCATCCTCGAAAAGGTTGGAGGGAGGGGGTAAAGGTGGTTTTGTGAATATACAAATGAACCAACATTACAAAAATAAAAGAGCCCTCTCCATCCTTGTCTGTTTAGGAAGGCTTCAGTGGGTAAGCTGAAATACACAGTAGTACTCTATTTTCAGCTTTATTTTATACACGTGGGTCTGTCTGTGCCACCACATCTAATGTCTCCTAGTAAACCACCAGAAATTAAATTGGTTCCTTCCCTCAGTTTACACTTCAGGAATCTGAGACACCACTGACAATGTTCTAAACCCTTCAAAGTAGGTATAAATTATGACTTATCTCTGCAATTAACAACTTTATAACTGCAGAAATCAAGACTCAGCTCTTCAGCCCTCTTCTTACCTTATAAATTATTACTGTAAATTAGCTAAACCATATTTAAATTTGAATCCCCTTAGGAAGTCAGTTTCTATTCTGTCACTGCCCATCTCTTGTCTGTCTTTGTTACTCTTCCTCTGCAGAAATGCTTTTCACATCTCTAACCTGCTTGGAAGCTCAATTTCCATAAGTCCCACTGCTCTGGATTTCCTAATAAATAACAATCTGGCCTTGTCTTCATTATCTGACAATCTATCTGTAATCATTTAAGACATAAAACAAACCTTTTATTAGGGAAGGACACAAGTGAAAACTAGAAATTCAAGCAAGACAAAGCTGGAAGTTTTCTGTTAGTGGAACAAAAGAAAAACTGTACGTGTATGACTACCAATTTTTTTACAATGAATACAAAGCCAGGCTTGTGATGTCAGTGCTACCTACTCATAGATACCATTCCACTGTTTTGTCACTAAGAAAAACACTAGTACAGGTAGTACAGTATTTTTTGTTCCCTCCTTGGTTTACAACTTTAGCCTCTCTCTTGATGGTACTAAGAAATCTTCATAGATTTTCTCATATTATTCAGCTACCCAACATATAATTAACACTCCTCATTTCTTCAATCACCCAAAGGCATTTTACTTAATTTTATCCTTGTTTGCAAGTCATATTTCTAGTGTTGAGATCCATTTTTGGAACTTACTTGAGACTTTTGCTATCTTATCCACATGCATTTTTTGAGATGAAGACACAATACTATTGCTAAATATTTTGAGCATAACATACAATGTGAAAAGCTTCCTAGCATTCATTCATCCATATATTCAGGAACTTTTAATATTTGCCAGTGTAAAATGAGTTTCCCCATGATTTAAATTGTGCATGTGCACGTAATAAATTATGTGCTACAAGCCAGAGTGATGATATCAATAACTGAATGTTCACAAAAGTAGCCATAAAACAGGCCACAAAACATAAAAAGCAAACCATTATAGTGGACAAGAGATTTCCTGACCCAATGTTAATGATTTATGCAACTGACTTGGGGAAGGGGGGAGGGGAGACATATTTGTGGATGATAAAAAATTATCTTGTAGGTAGTAGGTTGGTAGACAGCAACCGCCCAGGGAGGTACTGCCGTCCTGCCAAGTGAGTGTAAAACGAAAGCCTGTAACTGTTTTACATGACGGTAGGATTGCTGGTGTCCTTTTTTTCTGTCTCATGAACATGCAAGATTTCAGGTACGTCTTGCTAATTCTACTTACACTTACGTCACACTACACATACCTGTACAAGCACATATATACACACCTGTCTGGGTTTTCTTCTATTTTCTTTCTAGTTCTCATTCTTGTTTACTTCCTCTTGTCTCCATAGGGAAGTGGGACAGAATTCTTCCTCCGTAAGCCATGTGTGTTGTAAGAGGCGACTAAAATGCCGGGAGCAAGGGGCTAGTAACCTCTTCTCCTGTATATATTACTAAATGTAAAAGGAGAAACTTTCGTTTTTCCTTTTGGGCCACCCCGCCTCGGTGGGATACGGCTGGTGTGTTGAAAGAAGAAAGAAAAAATTCTCTGCAATAAGAGAGATTGTAAATTGTAACAAGAAGACTTAAATCAACTGGGTGATGTTGGGATATGAAGTTGAAAAGTGCTTTGAAGTAGAAATGGGGAAAAAGAAATAAGAGGCCACTCAAAGAATACATACTATTGTGATAAAACATTGAGAGCATCAAATTGGATTATACAAGTCATCATAGACAAAAAATCACTACAAAAAGACCACAAATACAATTCTGAGAAACTCTTATGTTACACGGGTGCACACACTAAATTTCCTTCAGGTATAGATGTGAGAATGCTTAAAAAAATATTTACAGCATAATACAGGCCAAAGAGTAATATACTGTGGCATTGTAGTATGGTGTCTGCACCTTAAAAAAAAAAAAAATGAAAGTATGACAGAGAGCCAGCAAACAACTTACAAACTGGTTCACATAACTAAAAAATATAAATTACAGAGAATGGCTTCATCTGCTTATGAAACGAAAGAGAGGTGCAGGAACTTTAGTTCTTAAGTCTGTGCACTTCTGAGAAAATAGCTATTGAATGATGGTGAATGTTTCCTTTCTTGTGTTACCCTACCTTGGTGGGAGACAGCCACTGTAATACTTATAACAATAAAAAAAAATAATTGATGATATATAAATTCAGTGAGGCCTACTTCTAAAACTGGTAGACAAAATGACTGCGAAGTATATCCTACTCTTTACCAGATGGTGGCATCATAGTACTCAATCAAAATAACAATAACTACAATAATGTTAATACAAATTGTAGTAATAATAATAATAATAATAATAATAATGATGATATAATTACATTTACAACACTGAAGTTAATAAATGCTTCAAAGAAATTTATGAACAATAAAATGCAGTACAAGAATTTCTTTAAGTTACATGTAAGAAAGTAAGTTCCATTATTCCACCTTAATCAATACCATATTTTTTATAATTATTGTACATGCTAATTCTAATTGTCCTCTTCTTCCTTTGCTTTTGGGGTCTGGGAACGAGATCGACTGGATGACTGATCATTAACAGGAGACTTGCTGTGACTCGGTGATCGTGACCTGCAAATGAGACATATTAAGGAATTCAGCCTAATAACTTGTTTATAAAACACTGAATCTACATAAAGTATCAGGTGTTACACTTCTAACATTTATATTTACTTAGTGACAGGTTCAATAATTCAGAAGGATGACTCTTGTTCATGAAATATTTTTACTGCGACAATTAATTCATAAAGACAAACACCATATCCATAAATGCTGATAAGTTAGGCCATGCATTTAATGTTCACAGATTTAATAAAAAAGAAAAATCATACCTGGATTTCGATTTCTCCTTTGATTGGGATCGTGATCTAGACTTAGATCTAGACTTGGATTTTGACTTGGATTTAGATCTGGACTTAGACCTGGATCTGGATTTTGACTGGGATCGCAATCTTGAACGGGATCGGGATTTAGAGCGAGATTTTGATCGAGACTTCCTTGCCCGTCTGTCTCTGGCAAATTGAAAGCAACAACAGGTGATAAGTGAAAGTATTATCAACTAATTATATTAACCCTTTCAGGGTCGAGAGGCCCTCTCCTAAACTTGTTCTCAGGGTCGAAAATTTCTCGGAAAAAAAAAAAATTATTTATTCTTATGAAATGATAATCTTTTTCCGATCCTAATGACACCAAAAGTATGAAATTTGATGGAAACTTACAGAATTATGCTCTTGTGAAGTTAGCGGTCTCACCAATGTTTACGCATCGGCGATTTTGCCCAATTTGAGCCCTATTTTTGGCCAATTCCTGTGTACTAGTCGGCAAAAAACATATTTATTTCGCTAGAACTCCATTTTTTCTATCGAATGAGTACAAGAAACCACGCATTTACCAATTTCCACTATCCAAGAAAGTGGTTAGAAATTGGCATTTTGCCAATTTCACACAAATTTCAGAAGATGCCAATTTCCAAATAGGCTCCAGAATAAACAAGAAAGATATTCCTGGCACTAAAATAACATTTCCTCTGTTCATTAGTCACATCCCCAGGTCCCTCTTACATTCTTTTGCTTTCCACTTTGAATTTTTATTCTTACAAACAATAGAAGATTTACTGTTATGCAGACTACTGTATTAGTGTAGAAATGGTATAAATAATATCAGCGCACTTGTGAAAGAATATGAGACTCACCAGTATTGGACTCTTGGCATGATTTGTTTACTTTTGAACCTAGGTAAAAATAAATTTCATGGTACTTTTCATTGTGAAACCAATCAAAATCATCTCTATTTCTGTAATATGTCTTCAATTCTATAAAATGAGACCAGGAAAACTAGAATACAACCATAAATACCATACGAAAATACAGTGCAAAGTCGCCGTTTTAATCCAAAAACACTGTCAAAGTTTTTTTTTTTCTCATTACACACTGTGTGCTGCAGGATTTTTTATACTGCCCACACTGACCACATAGACCCATTCTTTCATATGTAGGCCTACCAGCTTTCACTAGATTTGAAAGCGCTAGAATTTAGGCATTCTAGTACGTCAATAACCCTGGTGCATAAGCCGTACTAGTACTTCGAAAACACTGAAAGGGTTAAAATGCAGTAAAGCCCCTGTATCCACGGAGTCAGTATCCGCGGTTTCAGTTATCCACAGTTTACTGTGTCCCAAAAATAATCTTTAATTTTACTTAAGAATGACCCCAATGTGCAAAATTATTGATGCTAGCAGTTCTTCAGAGCCTAAGAGAAGCCATGAAATGCTTCTCATCAGTGAAAAAAGTGATAATTCTAGACATATTTTGCTTAATTTATCAATTAAACTATCATAAGTATGTATGTCTCCATGGGGAAGTGGAGCAGAGTTCTTCCTCTGTAAGCCATGTGCGTCGTAAGAGACAACTAAAATGCCGGGAGCAAGGGGCTAGTAACCCTTTCTCCTGTATAGATTACTAAATTTAAAAGGCAAAACTTTCGTTTTTCCTTTTGGGCCACCCCACCTCAGTGGGATACGGCTGGTATGTTGAAAGAAGAAAGAATACTAAAGTTGAAAAGAGAAACTTTCGTCTTTCTTTTTGGGCCACCCTACTTCGGTGAGATACTGCCAATTTGTTGAAAGAAGGAGGTATGTATGTAGATGAAAAATGACACATATAGGGTTCACTACTACCCATGGTTTCAGGTATCCACGGCAGGGGTTGGAATGTATCCCCTGCAGATACAGGGGGCTCTACTGTATATATTTTACATATTTTTACACACACACACACACACACACGCACACGCACGCACACGCACGCACGCACACGCGCACACGCACACGCACACACACACACACACACACACAAGGAATCATTCAGGACCCTGTACACCGTGTACGTTAGGCCCATATTGGAGTATGCGGCACCAGTTTGGAACCCACACCTAGCCAAGCACGTGAAGAAACTAGAGAAAGTGCAAAGGTTTGCAACAAGACTAGTCCCAGAGCCAAGAGGTATGTCCTACGAGGAGAGGTTAAGGGAAATCAACCTGACGACACTGGAGGACAGGAGAGATAGGGGGGACATGATAACGACATACGAAATACTGAGAGGAATTGACAAGGTGGACAAAGACAGGATGTTCCAGAGATTGGACACAGTAACAAGGGGACACAGTTGGAAGCTGAAGACACAGATGAATCACAGGGATGTTAGTAAGTATTTCTTCAGCCACAGAGTAGTCAGTAAGTGGAATAGTTTGGGAAGCGATGTAGTGGAGGCAGGATCCATACATAGCTTTAAGCAGAGGTATGATAAAGCTCACGGCTCAGGGAGAGTGACCTAGTAGCGATCAGTGAAGAGGCGGGGCCAGGAGCTCGGACTCGACCCCCGCAACCTCAACTAGGTGAGTACACACACACACACACACAAATTTAAAAAGCACCAAAAACTTACAGCACACATTCCACATACTAAAACATTTCTCCCCATAATCATGTCCCCAGGCCTCTCCTACATATACTTGCTTTCCATTTTAATAATAATAATAATAATCCCAGGTAGTAGGTTGGTAGACAGCAACCACCCAGGGAGGTGCTACCGTCCTGCCAAGCGAGTGTAAAACGGAAGCCAGTAACTGTTTTACATGATGGTAGGATTGCTAGTGTCTTTTTTCTGTTTCAAAAACATGCAAGAGTTCAGGTATGTTTTGCTACTTCTACTTACACTTAGGCCACATTACACAAGCATGTACAAGCATATACAGTGGACCCTCGACCAACAATGGCATCGTCTAATGTTAAATCCGACTAGCGATACATTTTAACGCAAAAATTTTGCCTCGACTAGAGTTAAACTCGACCAACACGATTCGTTCTGTTCGAGATGCGTCCACTTGTGGCCAGTGTTTACAAGCCAGCCAGCCACCGCGGTCCCATCCAAACATACAATCAGAACATTTCATATTATCACAGCGTTTTTAGTGATTGCACCTGCAAAATAAGTCACCATGGGCCCCAAGAAAGCTTTAGTACCAACCCTACAGCAAAAAGGGTGAGAATTACTATGGATATGAAGGACTTCCAGCAAGCGTGCGTGAGCGTGTTAGATAGGAGCGAATGGAGACGAATGGTACTTGGGACCTGACGATCTGTTGGAGTGTGAGCAGGGTAATACGTAGTGAAGGGATTCAGGGAAACCGGTTATTTTCATATAGTCGGACTTGAGTCTTGGAAATGGGAAGTACAATGCCTGCACTGTAAAGGAGGGGTTTGGGATATTGGCAGTTTGGAGGGACATGTTGTGTATCTTTATACGTATATGCTTCTAAACTGTTGTATTCTGAGCACCTCTGCAAAAACAGTGATAATGTGTGAGTGTGGTGAAAGTGTTGAATGATGATGAAAGTATTTTCTTTTTGGGGATTTTCTTTCTTTTTGGGTCACCCTGCCTCGGTGGGAGACGGCCGACTTGTTGGAAAAAAAAAAAAATGAAGAAAGAGATCATTGCTAAGTATGAAAGTGGAGTGTGTCTCCGAGCTGGCCAGGTTGTGCACAAAACCCCAATCAACCATCGCTACTATTGTGGCCAAGAAAATGGCAATCAAGGAAGCTGTTCTTGCCAAAGGTGCAACTATGTTTTCGAAACTGAGATCGCAAGTGATAGAAGATGTTGAGAGACTGTTATTGGTGTGGATAAACGAAAAACAGATAGCAGGAGATAGCATCTCTCACGCGATCATATGTGAAAAGGCTAGGAAGTTGCATGACAATTTAATTAGAAAAAATGCCTGCAACTAGTGGTGATGTGAGTGAATTTAAGGCCAGCAAAGGTTGGTTTGAGAGATTTAAGAATCGTAGTGGCATACATAGTGTGATAAGGCATGGTGAGGCTGCCAGTTCAGACCAAAAAGCAGCTGAAAAATATGTACAGGAATTCAAGGAGTACATAGACAGTGAAGAATTGAAACCTGAACAAGTGTTTAATTGTGACACTGACAATGTTGTGAAACACTCCAGGAATGTCATAAAGGAACGGGATATACAGGCCTCTATGGACAGATATGTTGTGTGACAGGTCCAGTGACTCTCAAGCTGGTCCTAGTGGCATTAAAAGAAGAAGGGAAGTAACCCCGGAAAAGGACTTGACACCTCAAGCCCTAATGGAAGGGGATTCCCCTTCTAAACACTAACACCATCCACACTCTCCCCTCCTCCCATCCTATCAATCATCACCAGATCTTCAATAAAGGTAAGTGTCATGTAATTGTACATGTCTTCTTCAGTTTGTATGTATTAAAATTAATACATACATTATTTCTTACGGGGAAAATTAACTCGACTAACGATAATTTCGATTAATGATGAGCTCTCAGGAACGGATTAATATCATTGGCTGAGGGTCCACTGTATATACAAACCCCTCTTTTTTTTCTATTTTCTTACTAGTTCTTGTTCTTGTTTATTTCCTCTTATCTTCATGGGAAAGTGAAAAAGATCTCTTCCTCCACAAGCCATGTGTGTTGTAAGAGGCGACTAACATGCCTGGAGCAAGGGGCTAGTAACCCCATAAATAAAGATTTACCTATTAGATAATAAAATATAACCAGGAATGAATGATCATAGTTTATGACATCCCAATAATTGAATCACACCTATTAGCTCCTTCAGTGTCAGTCCCATAAAATTACAGCTTTGAAGCCAGTGTTAGTCCTGTAAGACAATGCCAATATTCTAGCAGCTTCAAATCTTGTGGGAGAAAGCTGGTAGCCCTACATGTGAGAGAATGTGTCTGCATGGTCAGTGTGCACAGTATAAAAAAAATCCTGCAGCAAGCAGTGCACAATAAGAAAAAACTAGGCCCATGTTTTTGGTCTACAACAGCGACTTTGCGGTGTACTTTCGTATGGCATTTATGGTTGTATTCTTTTCTTGGTCTCATTTGATAGAATGGAAGATCTATTACAGAAATAGCATAGCTTCCATTCTATCAAATGACACCAAGATGCAGATAATAAAACCATAGAAAAAACACCCTAGGAAATACCTCAAAGTTATTTTAAACCAAACACATGGTTAGTTTTGCTTTTTCCATCATGCACTGTGGGGGTCAGGACTTTTTTTAATACTATGCACACTCACTACACAGACCTATTCTCATATCTTCATCACAATTCACCACTCATAGCTTATCTAGGGGCCCTGGCATCAACAACATATATCTACATGACAACCACTGAAAGGGTTAAGCTATTTTAATTAAACTCTTCCTTGCTATATTTATATGGGTTGATCACAACCCAAACTCAATAACAATAAGATCAATTATAGTTAATAGCAGTTTAGCTGCAAATAAATTAAAATGGCTCGTTCTGGAAGACTGATGTTAAAAGAAGGATATACTGTACAGCATTTTATAGTACAGTGGACCCCTGTGAATTCGCAGTTCTGAATTTGTGGCTTCAGTAATTCACAGATTTTTCCCTTAGAACCTAACTAATAATTGTTCATGGAAATCCCTGCAAATTCACTGATTTTTTATTTTGGCTTTTTTCGTGGCAATACATAATTTTTTGTGTTATTGATAAATATTAAGAAAAATATAATTTAAATTATTACCGTATATTTACCGTACGTATACCAAAGAAAACGAGGTTGCATGAATTACAGTAAATACGGGGGCAACATCAGTATTTTACATTCTAGCACTGTGGGAGACATAGTACAGTACTGAATACGGGTTTATCTTTACATTTTTTGTTTAGGGTGATGTATGAAGCTGAGTTTGAAATTTAACTGTTTTGGGGACATATTTAGGGTTTAAACTATAAAAATGGGCATTTATAGGCATGTTTTTAACTGCATCCCAAATTCGCGGTTCTTTCAAATTTGTGGGTGATCTTGGAACGTAACCCCTGTGAATTTGGGGGGACTACTGTACATGGAAAGTGAAATGAGAAAAAAAAAAAAAAAAATATCCCGTTAAGTACTTAAGAACACATACATGAAGTTATGAAAAGTCTAATTTACTGCACAAAATTATTTCAACAGAGCAACTAACCTTGAATGAGAACGGCTTCGTGAGCGAGATGGTGAGCGAGATCTTGATCGGCTTCGAGAGCGAGTTTGGGAGCGTGACCGGGAACGCGACCTTGATCGGCTGCGAGAGCGAGACCTGGAAATAAAATATTAACACATAACACTTCACTAATGCATTTTATGAACTTAGTTTTACCTTAGCTAAGATGTCTCAATCTGTGAATGAATTAAACCGGTATACAAGACCTAGCTCAATGTTGAGTTTTTTTTTTCGAGTCAGCCATCTCACACCAAGGCAGGGTGACCCACAAAGAAAAAATCCCAAAAAAGAAAATACTTTCATCATTCAACACTTTCACCTCACTCATACATAATCACTGTTTTTGCTGAGGCACCCAGATACAACAGCTTAGAAGCGTATACATGTATAAACATATACAGTGTAACATATCTCTCCAAACTGCCAATATCCCAAACCCCTCCTTTAAAGTGCAAGCATTGTACTTCCCATTTCCAGTACTCAAGTTTGGCTATATAAAAGTAACAGGTTTTCCTGAATCCCTTCACTAAATATTACCCTGCTCACCCTCCAACAGCTCGTCAGCTCCCAAAAATCTTTCGTCTCCATTCACTCCTATCTAACACATTCACGCACACTTGTTGGAAGTCCAAGCCCCTTGCCCACAAAACCTCCTTTACCCCCTCCCTCCAACCTTTCCGAGGATGACCCCTACCATGCCTTCCTTCCCCTACAGATATGTATGCTCTCCATGTCATTCTACTTTGATCCATGCTCTCTGAATGACCAAACCACCTCAACAACCCCTCTTCAGCCCTCTAATACTTTTAACTCCACACCGTCTCCTAATTTCCACACTCCAAATTTTCTGCATAATATACACCATACACTGCCCTTAGACAGAACATCTCCACTGCCTCCAACCATCTCCTCGCTGCAACATTTACAACCCAAGCTTCACACCCATATAAGAGAGTTGGTACCACTATACTTTCAAATATTCCCTTCTTTGCCTCTATAGATAAGATTATTGTCTCCACATACCTCAACACACCACTCACCTTTTTTTTCTTCATCAATTCTATGGTTAACCTTATCCTTCATAAACCCATCCTCTGACACAACTCCCAAATATCCCTGAAACATTCACTTCTTCCATACTCCCTCTCTCCAATGTGATATTCAATTTTTATCTAAATCATTTGATACCCTCATCACCTTACTTTCAACTTTCTACTTTTACACACCCTCCCAAACTCGTCCACTAACCTTTGCAACTTTTTCTTTAGAATCTCCCATAAGCACAGTATCATCAGCAAAAAGTAACTGTGTCAATTCCCATTTTGTATTGATACCCCATAATTTAATACCGCCCCTCTTCCCAACACCGTAGCATTTATTTCTTTTACAACCGTATCTACAAATATATTAACCCTTTCAGGATCTAGAGGCCAAATTTCAATGGGTGCCCCACTGTCCAAGAAATTTTGAAAAAATAAAAAAATTATTTTTCTTACAGAATTAAAGATAATAGTTTTGTGAAGGTAATGAAACAAAAAAAAAAAAAAAATTCTGATCAGTACTTACTGAGATATACAGGCATGAAGTTGACCCAAAATGACCGGGTGGTGGCAACATCCGCGACTTCCGCAAAGTCGCATTTGTTTTCCGTTTTTCGTACTTTTTTCTTTTCTTTTCAATTTTTTTTTCTAGTAATATTTGTGGCCTGTGAGACTAATACTGTATATAATGTATGTATATATATATATATATATATATATATATATATATATATATATATATATATATATATATATATATATATATATATATATATATATATATATATATATACACATATACATATATATATATATATATTATATATATATATATATATATATATATATATATATAAATAAATATATATACAGGAGGGCCCCACTTATATGGCGGGTTAGGTTCCAGGCTACCGCCGTAAAGCAGAAACCGCCGTAAAGTGGAACACCCTTTTTTTCCACTTACAAATGCATACAAACACTAGATAACAAGTTTACACAAACATATATTATGTTAGCAATAGAACCAGGCATCAAAAAACAATAAAAAAGTACAATACACACACAGTGCACTCAATACTTACCTTAAAATATTTATAGTCTTAATCTAGGGTGAGACAAGTAGTATTTATTGTAAGAAATCAAGTGTGGTATGTATGGTGTCAGCCAGGCTATCATACCAGGCCACCCCACCCACACATACTATTCTATGATATTTAAGCATCCCAGAGCGATAAAATGTATATACAGTTCACTCATTACTTACCTTAAAATATAGGGTGAGATGAGTAGTATTTATTGTAAAATATCAAGTGTGGTATGTATGGTAGTCAGCCAGGCTACCATACCAGGCCAACCCACCCACACATACTATTCTATGATATTTAAGCATCCCAGAGCGATAAAATGTATATACAGTTCACTCATTACTTACTTTAAAATATAGGGTGAGATGAGTAGTATTTATTGTAAAAAATCAATTGTGGTATGTATGGTAGTCAGCCAGGCTACCATACCAGAGAGAAAGAATGAGTGCATGAGAGAGGACAGGCGCAGAGTTATGTAAACAAACCAGGCGAAGGTAAGTTTTGTAAACAGTGTACACGTCTGGTTTGTGTACAAGTTACATTGTGTACAGGTTGTCTCTACATTGATACGGTAGAATAAATAAAGAAGAACACTCCCATTCTCATGTAACATCATTTTGAGAAGAAATGATGCTCTGAGTGAAGGCAATGGAAGTAAGTCACTCTGACTTTTTTGGGTTATCCTAGGTTCTCTACACATATGTTATGTATTTATGTTATGTATCGTGTTTATTATATAATTTTGAAAAAAAAAATCACGGCTGGATTAATGAAAATGTGTATATTAACGTAATATACAACATTTAATGATACACCGAGCTCAGACAGCGTAAACAAACTGAACAGGTTGTGGACGATCACTCGGTCAGGCGAAATAGACGGTATTAATACGTGTCCAGTTTTAGTTCATTCATGTACATTTGTAAGAGTTTGTGAAACTTTTACCTTATAATATTTTTATTATTATTATAATAATTAAATCACGAAACAAATACTCTTACACTGTGTACAAGTTAGTACAGAATTATAGCTATAAAGTGAAGGCATACGAAAGGAATATTTTTCTACAGTTATCCCTAGTAACAGGTGACGGACTAGAGAAAACGTAATTCTTCCGACACTTCTACAAACCGTTTGGTAAACATCTCGTATATATTTGTATAAATTTTTATACTGTGGGTGCATGTATCATATTTGTGTGTTACATAATGTGTTTCTTATATAATTTTGAAAAAAATATCAGATAGATTAAGAGAAATGTCTATATTAACGTAATATGCAACATTAATTCGCCCAAGAGATTATTATTACTATTATTATTATTATTATTATTATTATTATTGCATCAAGAGTAGAGAGACTCTTAGTGATTTTAATGTGTACCTACATGCCAGCACAGTAAGTTTATTTAGGTACAGGTGTACACAAGTTTAATTATCAAGTACAATACATATAAAATATAAAATAACTTTAAAACACTTGAAATTTTGTAAAGTTTCCAGACATAATAAGGAGATGTGCTCAGGGAGAATGTAAACAAACTCGGTGGGCCGCTGTGACCGTATTAGAAAGACAGGTGGGGGAGCCGTATAGCGAGTTTTGGTCATAATTTGAAATGTCCGTATTAGCGGAACGCCGTAAAGTGAAACGCCATAAAGCGGGGCCCTCCTGTATATATATATATATATATATATATATATATATATATATATATATATATATATATATATATATATATATATATATATATATATACACAGTGGACCCCCGGTTAACGATATTTTTTCACTCCAGAAGTATGTTCAGGTGCCAGTACTGACCGAATTTGTTCCCATAAGGAATATTGTGAAGTAGATTAGTCCATTTCAGACTCCCAAACATACACATACAAACGCACTTACATAAATACGCTTACATAATTGGTCGCATTCGGAGGTGATCGTTATGCGGGGGTCCACTGTGTGTGTGTGTGTGTGTGTGTGTGTGTGTGTGTGTGTGTGTGTGTGTGTGTGTGTGTGTGTGTGTGTGTGTGTGTGTATGTATGTATGTATATATATATATATATATATATATATATATATATATATATATATATATATATATATATATATATATATATATATATATATATATATATATATATATATATATATATATAGACACTCACTGTATTGAACACAATAACTGCACTAAAGTTAATATAATACTGTTTACCAATATTGTTTACAACAATAAACATGCACAAATGTTGTATATACTAATGTTCTAGTATATATTTACATATGTACAGTCACTGGACATGTTTCTAGAACTGCTGTAGTCTGTGGAAGTCCTTGAAACAAGTATCATGCACAGTGGTATCTTACATTCCTCGCACACAAACTGAGTGTTGTTGTTCCCGTCATTTTGTTTGTGCACAGACAACACATCTCTTCTGAGCCCATTTCTTCTTAGTTGCAGGAAGCTGTATTAGGAAGTGATCACCTTCCCTCCTCAAACACTTGGGTATCTCCTGAGAAGTTCGAGGACGGGTTTGTATAGCAGGTGTTGTTACCTGGTACTTCATTATTAGTTGTCTTACGACAGACAAAATTCACCATAAGGTGGTCTGTTGCTGGTCTTTATTTGGTACATATTATATGCATTGAGCATTGAAATGTCCATGAGATGGACATTTTATGTACCACTTGTAACTCTTACGAACACAATCGACAAAGCCAATCTGCACGTCACATTTGTCAATCAAAATCATGTTTTGTGAATAATCAATCACTGTTACTGGTTTTAGAATATGTCCATTAGTCACTATCAACTTTGCCACTGTCTTTCATTTCGTTAGGGTGAATGGTTGTCAACAATATGACATCTTGTTTGTCATGCCACTGTAAATCCATGATGTCACTGGCAGTAAACACCTGCAGCTCACCACTACGAGTGCCTGCATTGAACCTGGGCACGTGTTTATGATTAG